TGCTGGGGGCTGGGAGGCCTGTCAGCCTCCCAGCCCCCCAGCCAGCACCCCTGCCTGCCATATGCCTGGTGAACCCCAATAAAAGACCTGCAAAAAAGCCACTGAGGACTCTGACTCCTCCTTTACCCGGTCTGCATGGGGTCAGAGAACCTGCACCGTGTCCAGTTCTGACCCTTTACAGAAACCAAATCCATCAGTGTAAAAAAAAAAATAGTACAAAACACAACAAAGCAGAAACAGGTAATTATAAATCAGAGACATACTGCAGAGGAGGAGGAGGAGGGAGAGGGATCAGAGGGGAGGAGGGAGGAGCACAAGCGACTGTGGTGATGGTGCCGGGTGCCCTGGCGAAAAATTCTACGGGGACTCACCCTGAGGGGGGGAGCATATCATTTAAAAAAAAATGGGAAAAAATATTATGTGAAAAAAAGAACCTAAAGTGAGACTTAAATAGTGTTGAGTTAACTGCATCCAGGTGACAGGAAAAATAAAACACACTGGAAGATGGAAAAAATACTTCAGAGAAAATATTTTATACAAGTTTACGCAGGCGCGTTCTCCTAAGCACCAGGCATCATGAAGTGGTCAGTGAGCTCACCGAGAGGTCAGTCCTAATTGCTCTGGGGTCATGAAGCGGTCAGTGAGTTCACTGAGAGAGCAAATCTAATTACTTGGGGTCATGCAGAGGTCAGTGAGTTCACGGCGAGGTCAGTGAGCTTGGGAGAGCCCTCACTGAATTCTGAGTTGGATCTCCTAGTCACTGGGGTCACGCAGAGGTCAGTGAGTTCACAGAGAGGTCAATCTTAATGACTTGGGGGTCACGCAGATGTCAGTGAGATCACAGGTTATTCCTAATTACTTGGGGTCTTTTTTAAAAAAATATTTATGCACACAAGAGCTGGGGTGCAGGCAGAGCAGGCAGAAGGACTGAAACCCACGGCTGAGGGAGCAGCGGGAGACAGGAGGGGTCTGCGCGCCATGAGGGTCAGCGCCCTGGCCGGCCGGGGATCGAACTCGTGCTGCAGCGGCTGCGGGCAGCTCCACAGTGCGGTGCTTAGCCCGCTGCGCCCCCGGGGAGGCCCCTACATTTCTTTCAATGTTTTTTTTTTTCTGTTGTCACGTCCACGGTCGCCGTCAGTCGCCGCCGCGAGGCGGGAGGCCCCGGACTGCCTCCACCGCGCGTCGCTATCGCACCTGTCCTCGCGGCCCCGCGGGCCTCGCTGCCCGGACGGCGGCCCGTCCGCCTCCGCCTCCGCCGCCTTCCGCTGCTGCGCGTTCGCCTCCCTTCACAGACCGACGGGGGCGGCGTGATTTGGAGCATTTCCGCCTTTATTTTTGATTTTTAAACTACTTCACACGAGGCATCCGTCGCCACTGAGCCGGCGCCTCCACCCCACGCGGGCCGCGCCCCCCGCGCCCGCACCTCCCTCCCGAGGCGCCGAAAGGCCGAGGCCGGAGCCGGGAGCGGACGCCGCCGGGAGCGCCGGGCCAGGGGCCGCCCGCCCGCCCGCTCCGGCCCCCGCGGCCCGCGAATCCCGCCGGGGCGCAGTCGCGCTCCCCGCCTTCGAGGACCCGCCCGGCAGGCGGCGGCGGGAGGAGCGCGAGGCCGCCCCCCCGCGGCCCCCCCCCGCCCACAGGAGTCCGCGGGGCGCGGGAGCCGCGGCCGAGGAGGACCCGAAGGAGCCGGGAAGGCGGAGACCAGACGCGCCGGGGTGAGGGGCGGGCGGGGCGCGCCGGCCGGGGGTCCCGAGGGCCGGAGCGCGCCCCCGCGCCCGGCCCCGCCCCGCCCCCGGCCCCGCTCCGCCGGGGGGGACGTCGCGCTGGACACGGGCCGGCCCCGGCCGCGCTGGCCCGTCTCGCGCCGCCCTCGGGCCCAGCACCGCCCCTGGGGCCGCCCCTCGCTCTGCCCAGAACGTGCCGCCCGCGCGGGGCTCGGCCCGCGGCTCCCGCCGCCCCGTCCCGGGAGGCGCGCCCCGCGGGCCCCGAGCCGGCTTCCCTGGGCGCCCGCGTCTGCGAAGCCGCGATGGCCGCGGCCGGCCGGACACCGCCCCCCGCCCCCCGCGGGCGCCGTCGGGGCGCGGGCACAGGCGCGGGGGCCGGGGGGTTGGGGGGCGCCCCGCGGAGGCCCCGCCGTCCTGGGACGCGCCCGCCTGGCGCGCGCGGGCCGCGGCCGCTGGAAGAGGCGCTTCTTCCCGGCGGGGCGACCTCTGGGCCTGGCCTGGGGCCCCACGAGCCTCCCCCGCGGCGGGGAGGGGCGCCTCCGGGCCGCCGCCCGCCCCCAGGGCTTCTCGCGGGCGGACCCAGGCCGCGGCCCGGGCAGGGCGCGGGGCTCCGCCTCCGCCGGGCTTGTCGGGCTCCGCCGCGCGCCCCCAGCGTCCGCGGCGCGGGAGGCGACCATCGCGCGGCGAGTCCCGGGGCGTCCGGGCCCCGCGCTGCCCCATCTCGGGGTGCGGCTGTGCCCGCGGAGGCCGCGGCAAGTCCCGGCGCGGGAGGGCGGGGGCCGCGGGGCCGGCGGCGGCGGAGACGGGCAGGGACGCCGGGAGGGCCGAGGGGCGGCCGCGCCCGGGAGGCCCGGAGGGAACCGGAGAGGCGCGGGGGCGGCGGGGGGAGCCCGGCCCCGGCGGGCGACGGGCCCCGCGCGGGGGCAGCGGTTCCCGCGCCCCAGACCAGCCCCGACGGGCCCTCGCCCCGGCCCGGCCCGGCCCGGCCCGGGCGTCCCGGCGCCTCCCGGTCACCGGCGCCCCGCGGCGTCTGCGGTTCCCCGCCGGCTCGGGGGTGACCGGCCTCCCCGGGCCTCCCCGGGCCGCGCAGCCGCGCCCCCACCCCACGAGCCCCGCCCCTCCCCGCGCCCCACCCTCAGCCCGCCGGCTCCGCCCCCATTCACCAGCCCCGCCCCTAGCCACGCCCTTGCGCCACGAGCCCCGCCCCTCGCTGCGCCCCACCCTCAGCCCGCCGGCCCCGCCCCTCCACCAGCTCCGCCCCTCATCACGCCCAACTCTCAGCCCGCCGGCCCCGCCCCTCGCCGCGCCCCGCCCCTTGGTCGGCCCCCTTGCCTTGCCCCCCCAGCACACTGGGCCTGCTCCTCTCTTCGCCAGCCCTGCCCTCCTTCGGTAGCGCCGCCCATCGCCACGCCCCCGCGCCCTACTCCGCGCGCCCCGCCCCCTCAGCCCGCCGGCCCCGCCCCTTGGTCGGCCCCGCCACGCCCCCGCCCCACCCCTCGTCGGCCAGCCCGCCCCAACCCCGCCCCTCGCCCACCGGCCGCCCCCCCGCCCCCCCCGCTGGGGTCAGGTCTCCTGCCCAGCCTCCTCCCGGGCCGGGCCGGGGCCTCCGAGGTGCCGGCCTCGTGTCCTCGGTGTCGCCCTGGTTCGCCGCTCCCGCAGCACCCGGAGCCCCGCCCCGTCCCGGGCGACCCGCCTGAGCCGAGGGGGCTGCGCCCGCTCCTCAGGCGGCGAGGCCAGGACGCGGACCCGGCGGGGTGGGGGCTCCGCGCGCTGGCGCTGCCGCCGTCGGGGCGCGGCCGGGGGTGCCCTGCCGGGGCCCCGGCCCAGCGGGGCGCGTCCGCGGGGTGGGGGCAGCCGAGGTGGGAGAGAGAAGGGGGAGAGGCCGGGGAGCTCAGGGCGAAGACTTGCGGGGCCTTGGGGGCCTGCACCCCGAAACCGCCGCCCGCGGGCGCTGGCCGCTGCCCACCGGTGAAAGCCCCATGAGGGCCGGGAAAGCCCCGGGGGCTCCGCAGCCCCTTCCCCCGCGCGACTCAGGGACCCCCAACCTGCCCCTCCTGACTGCGCGGGGTCCGGGCACCGGCGAGGGCGCCCCTGCGGGAGTCCCGGGGCGCGCTGGGGAGAGCGACGAGGACACGCGGGCGCGGGGCTCCCGGGCCGGGCGTCGCCCGAAGGGTCGCCTGGAGGCCTCGCCCCGCGCCCCAGGCCGCGCGTCTTCTGGGGAGGCCCGAGGCGGCAGGGCCGGGGTCCCCTGGGGTTCAGAAAGGAGGAATGAAGCCTGGGGGGCCCCGGGGTGGGGGCTCCCCGCGCGGAGGGCAGCTCGCCAGCCGCAGGCGCCCTGTCCACGGCCGCGCCGGGCCGCCCGTGGCCAGCCGGCCACAGCAGGACGCGCCGGCGCGCCGCGGGCTCCTGGGGGGGCTCCTGGGGCTGCGCGGGGACGACGCGCCGCAGGGTGGGCGCATCCGCCGGGGCAGCGACCCCCCACGCGCGCCCGCCCGGCTCCGCGGGGGACTCGGCCTTCCTGGGAGGGGCGGCGCCCCCCTCGCGCGGCCCCGCTGCTTGGTCACGGGCAGAGCCGCCCCGCGCTCCCTGCCCCGCTCGCCAGGCCCCGAGCCGCGGCCGTGGGGCGGGCGGCCAGGCCCCCGCGGGGGAAGGCGCGAGGGCGGGCGCGGGCCCCGACGGCCCCAGGACCCCGCCTCGCCTCGCTCGCCTCACCCACGCGCGTCTCCACCCAGGCCGGCGCCGCCCCGCCCGCGAGAAACCTCCCGGGGCGGCGGGCGTGGGCGCGGCCGGGAAGGGCACCGCCCCCGGCCCGCCCCGCCCCGGCCCGCCCCGCCCCGCCCCGCGCCCGGCAGGCTGGGGCTCGGCGGGCCGGGCCGGGCCGGGCCGGGCCGGGCAGGGCGGGCCAGCGGCCCCGCGGGCTCTCGGGACGCCGAGTGAGTCCACCGGGCCGGGCACTCAGCCTTCTCGTGGCTTTATGTCAACGGGCTCTGACACTCGCTCACTGTGTGTTCAGGAACCACCGCGGCGGCAGCGCGCGGACACGCCTGCGGCCGGCGGGGCGGGGCGGGGGCCGGCTCGGGCACGCGCGCGCCCGGGCTCTCCATCCACGAGGCCCGGGCCCGGCCCCAGCGCCCGCCCGAACGGAAAAGCAAGAAGCTCTTTCCTCTGAATGTCTACAGAGCATAAAATTAAAAAAAATACAAATCTCTTAAAAACGCTCCTCACCTGCGGGGAAGGCGCGAGCTCGAGTCTCCCCGGCGCCGGGGCGGGCGCGCGCGGCTACCGCGCCTCCACCTCGGGGGCGCCCAGCGCCGGGTAGTCGCGCGCCTCGCCGGGCCCGGCCCCGAGCGGCGACGTCCTGGCGCGCGCGGGCGGCGCGGCCACCAGCGGGGGCGGCGGCGCGGCGGGCCCCGGGCGCGCGCCGTGCGGGGCGCCCCGCGCGGGCATGGGCGCCCCGCCGTCCGGGCGCGCGTCCCGCCGGCGCTCGGGGCTCCGGGCCAGGGGCTCGCGCTCGCGGTAGGCGCGCTCGCGGGGCTCCGGGCCGCGGAACGGGTCGCGCGGCGGCTCCCAGGCCGGGCGCTCGCGGCCCGCGGGGCCTAGGCCGAGCGCCGGGGACAGGCCGCCCCCCGGGGGCTCGGGCGCGTCGCCGCCCTCCCGGCGCTCCTCCTTGACCCTCGCGTCGCTCCGCTCGGCCAGGAGGCCGGCCAGGCGCAGGCCCGAGGGCGAGGGCGCACCCCGGGCCGGAGAGCGGCTCTCCTTGGCGCGGGCGCCCGCCTCGCGCTCGCCGGGCACCCCGGGCGGAGCAGGCTCGCCTTGGCCTCGAAACAGAAGGCTGCAGATGGGGTGGCCCGCCGGGGAGGCCCGACTCAGCCGCAGAGTCTTCTCCAGGAGGTCCCTGGGGAGGGACGAGACAGACGCCCCGCTCAGCCCAAGGGGGGACCCCAGCACCTCCCCACTCCCAGCTCAGCACCCAAGGGCCCCCCTCACTATGCCAGCCCCAGGCCCTGGAGGGGTGGGGCCCCTCAGCAGCCTGGCTCCCGTGGGCACCACTGCCCCCCCAACAACTTCCGGGCAGGGCCACAGGGTGCCTGCCTCCCGGTGCCCCCCTCCCGGGCCTGTGACAGCCCCTCCAGCCAGGCCCACGGCCACACCCAGGACTCCTGTGTCCCAGCTCGGGCTGGGGAGGGAGTGGGATCCGGGGCCCCTGGCGCCCCCGAATAGGAGTCCTGCCTCCCCAGCCCGGTTTGGGGGGCTCCCCACTGGTGCCCCTCCTGGCCTGGGCCCCTGGTGGTCCAGCAGTCCCCACCTGGGCAGTGCAGCACCCCCTGCGCCTGCCGCACCCCCTTCGCCACCCAGAATTGCCCAGTGTGGTGGACAAGCGCCCGCCCTGGACAGCTCCTGTCCCTCGGGTTCCCCAGGGCAGTGCAGGGGCTGGTGTCCCCCCACGGCCCTGCCCCACACTGAGGGCGCCCCTTGGGTGGAGCGGGGCCTGACCAGGGCGGGTGGGCAAGGGGTGGACGGGCCCACTCACCGCTCACGCTCCTCCCTGCACTTGTCGGGCTCCTGGTCAGGGCTGGTCAAGGCTGAGGCCCGCTCGGCATCCACGGGCTTGGGCCACAGGGGTGGTGTGGGGAAGGAGGGCGGTGCCCGGGGCCGGTCCCAGGCCTCGTGGGGGCTGGGCAGGCCGGGCAGCCCGGAGCTCTCCTTGGGGGCGAAGAGGCTGCCACCTGGAGCTGGGGGGAGGGCGCGTGAGGCCGCGGCTGCCCAGCCCCACGGGACCAGGCCTGCCCGAGGGTGGGCCAGCTCCACAGCACCGGCCGCGTGGGGCCGCGGTCACTCACCTAGTGCCGGGCTGCCCAGGCCCCCGAAGGCGTTGCTGCCCAGGCTCCCCAGGCCTCCAAAAGTGCTGGATCTGCCAAAAGGGTCTGTGGGGGACAGGGTCAGGGGCCTGTGGCTCAGTGGCCCCCATGGACCTCCACCTGCCCTTGGGTCTCCCCTGGGACTCCTGAGCCTGGCAGGAGCCCTCTCTGCCATCTGGGGGTGCCCTGCCCCCAGCCCTGAGGTCTTTGGAAGAGGCCAGCCAGCCTGCACCCACCTCAAGGGCACCTACCTGCCAGGCGGACGGCGGGCAGAAAGCTGCTGGGATGGACGGAAGGCCCAAACGTGGTGACGGCAGGGTGGGTGGCACCTGGTAAGAGGCGGGCTGCTGGGGGTACCCATTTAGAGCACTCACCAGTGGGGACGCCCCAGCTTCCTCTGGGAACCCCTACCGCCAGGACCCAAGGTGGAAGGGCGGGCGGGTGGGGGGGCGGGTGTGTGCAGACATCTGGTAAGACCAGAGGCGTGGACACACCTGCGCCCTACACTGGGTCTCTGAAGATGATGCCCTCAGCCCTGCTGCCATAGGTCCCTTGGGGCAGTGCATGGCTACAGCCTGGGGCCAACCCCGAGCCCAGGACACAGCCATCCCCGCACCACACCAGGCCAGCCAGCTCGGGACACCGGGAGCCCGGAGGCCGGCCGGGTGGGGCCCCGCGTGCAGGCAGGAGCAGGCGCGGGAGCCCAGCCGCCTCGGTAAGCCCGCTCGGAGCCGGCTGTGGGGGCCTGCAGTGCTGGGGGTGCGCGGGGCGCCCCCACCAGAGCCCCTGGGGCGCCCTGCCCCTCCCCCCACACACAAGCCGGAGAGCTGTCTCAGGGCTGAGGCAAGTCCAGGGAGGGCTCCTCACAACTCAAGCCGGGGTGGCACTGGACCCCAGTCAGCTGGTGGGGGTGCGAGGTGTCTGGAGTGAGCTGGGGGAGCAGTTTCAGGAGGTGGGAGGGGGCAGGCCCCCGAGTGAGGGCCTGGAGGCCAGCTGGGGCATCTCCCAGGGTGTGACCCGCTCCGCCCCTTACCGGAGCTGGAGAAAAGAGGCCTGGCCAAGTCCTGCGGGTAGTGGAAGCCAGTGACCACACTGGGGGCAGGGGGCCTGCTGAACAGGTCCAGCTTGCCGCCCATCTCCAGCTTGTGTGGGTCCAGCTGCATCTGCTGGGAGGGACGGGGTGTCGAGGGGCTGCCGGGGATCAGGACCCCTGTTCTGCTCCAGGCTCCCTTCACCGGTCACGGGAGCCGCCCTCGTCACCAGCAAAGGCAGGGCCCCTCCGAGCCAGGGCACGTGTCCAGGGGGGCAGGCAGCCACCCTGTGGACTCGGGAGTCCGGTCCAGAGCAGCTGCTGCGTTTCCCTCAGTGCCAGTAATCCCCGAGCCCCTCCCGGCAGGAGCCAGCCCTGCCTGCCCCCGAACGGCGCTGGTCTACTAGACGCCCCCAGCCACCTCCTCGCAGCACCTGGACGGACCAGAGCCGCCGCCGCCGCCATCGGGGGCTGGGCTCAGGACTCTGTGCTGCACCTCAGGGTCCTGCCTGCCACCAGAGCCCCAGCCCACTGCCCCCAGGGCTCCGACGCCCAGCGGAGGGCCCTCGTGGTCCCCGTCCATGTCCACCCAGGCCCCCGCCCTGGCCACTGTCCAAGCCCCAGCTCACCTTCATCTTCTGCTGGTGGCGGAAGGTCTGCCAGGCGATCTGCACGTGCATGGCACACCACCGGCCCGGCTTCTGCACGTGGGGGTGGGGGGACACTCAGCGCCGCCCACCCCGGAGCCCCACCCGCCCCCGGCGCCTGGCCGCTCCGCCTATCTTGCTCACCCTGATGGCTGCCGTCCTGTATGTGTCAGGCACCTGCCACAGCAGAGGAGGGCGCTCAGCCAGGCTCCGCTCAGGCCGGGGGCGCCCTGCCGCCTCCACCCACCTGGGGACCCGACGCCTGGGGGGAGGGGCTGACACCTACCGCGGGGCCTTTCGGGAGCAGCGTGTGGACAGTGCTAGCCCGGCCTGTCAGCTCGATCGGGCTTGAGGTCTGGGAGGGGGGAGTGCGGGCGTTGGAGAAGCGGCAAGCGCAGGAGCTGCCGGGCCGTGCCCGCCGCCCCGAGGCCAGTCCCTCACAGAACCTGCAGGCGGCCTGCCAGCAGGCCCGGCCCCGAGACCCTGCGCCGGGTCTGGCAGTGTGGACAGCCCGCTGCTGGGAGACTCCTTGCCGCCCACCTCCGCGACCCCATGGAGTGCAGGGCTAGCCCGGCAGGAAGGCCGCCCAGACTGGGGCCTGTGAGGGCCTGTGATGTCTCCCTGGAGACGGGCTGGGCAGGGAACCCTCCCTCCAGGACGCCCACCGCCCACCCCCACGGGGGGCAGGGGCCCAGCCCGGCCCAGGCACACACACACACACACACGCACGCGGCACCCCTCCCGTGCAGAGGTACCTTGGGCTGGAAAGCGCCCTGCAGGGACCCAAAGGGGCCTGGGTGTGGGAGCAGGGCGGGCAGTGCTGGGAGGGCCGGAGGGAAGGGCGGGAAGAACTGTAAGAGAAGGAGAGGGGCCTTCCAGGGGCCAGGCGGGTGCCCGGACACACCTGTGCCGGCCTGGAGGCCGCGGGGGCGCGGGCAGCAGAGCCCCTTCCCTCTCCCCTGCCCGCCCTGCGCCTCGACACTCACGCTGGAATGTCGGAAGTAGGGGCTGTCCAGCTTGGGTGTGAACTTGCCAAACTGCAATGAAAGGCCAGAGTGAGGCGCCCCGGCTCAGGCAGTGCCCCACCCGCTGCCCGCGCCAGCCTTCGCCGCGGGGGGCGTCCTGCCCGGGATACAGACGCGCCCAGCCCTGGGGCGAGGGAGCTGAAGCCGAGGGGCCCGGAGCCCGGGCTGGGGACACCCCAAACCCGGCACCTGGCGGTCCCCAAGGCAGAGCCCAGGGGAGCAGGGACTCCTCCTCCCACGGCCACCGGCTCAGGAGGGGCCAGGCCAGGAGGGGCTGCCAGGCGCGTGGCCAGCCCTCTCTGGAGACGACCTGCGGCCCCACGGCCCGCCTGGGCGCCGAGGACGCCCCGAGGCCCAGGCCAGGCCAGGCCAGCGCGCGGACAGGGGGCCGCCCTGGGAGCCCGCGGGAGGGGGCTGGGCGGCCGGCGGGCCCACGCACCGGCAGGGGCGCGGCGGGCAGCCCCGCCGGCAAGGGCGCGAAGGTGTGCTGGTGCTGGTGCTGGTGCGTGTGCTGGTGCGTGTGCTGGTGCTGGTGGAACTCGGCGCGCAGCAGCGCCCCCGCGCCCGGCCGCCCCGCGCTCTGGACCAGGAAGCGCGCGTCCAGCTCCTGCCTGAGCAGCTCGCGGTCTGCGGGAGAGGAGAGGCCGGACAGGGGGGCGCGTCGGCCGCGGCCCGGGGGCGAGGCGGGTAGTCACCTGGCACTCGCGGCGGCGGCAGGCCAGGCCGGGGGCCGCTCGCGGCGGGGGCCGAGGGAGGAGGGGGAGAGGCGGCTGCGCCCAAGTACCAATCAGGATCCCCGCGCGGGGCTGGCAGCGCGCGACGGGCGGGCCGAGCGGGACCAGCAGGCTGGCGTCTGCGGAGAGAGGGGTCAGCGCGCGCCCGGCCCCGCGCCCCCCGCCCGCAGCAGCGCGCGGGCCTCCCCCGCCGTCGGGGCGCGCCCTCCTGACCGGCCACGGCGAAGCGGGGCCCGGCGGACCTACCCGCGGGGGGTCCTGGGAGCACCAGGCCGCCGGCCGGCAGCGCGGGCAGCGTCGGGGGCGCGGCGAACATGGCCGCCGCGGGGTGCTGGTGCTGGGCCTGCGAGCGGAGCGCCGAGTGTGAGGTAGAGAGGTGCGGGCGCGGCCCGGACGGCGCCAGGGACGCGGCCTTGGCGAGCCCCAGGCCGGCGCCGCCACTGGCGCTGCTGCTCCTGCGGGGGACGGGGGCTCAGTGCCTGCGCGCGCCCTGCCCGCCCGCCCCGCGGGCCGCCCGCGCCCACCTGAGGCTGTGCAGACCCGGGTGCGCCGCCGGGCCGGGGCCGGGGCCCCGGGGGGCGCCCGCGGGGAGAGGCACGTGCGTCGGGAGCGGGGCGCGGCGCGCCGGGGTGGGGGCCTCCTTCTTGACCAGGGGGCTGGCGGGGGGCGCTGGGCTGCGCGCCGAGGGCGGGAAGGGCGGCCCGGTGCTCAGCTCGCGGCTGCGCTCCAGGCCCGAGACTTTGGGTGCTGCCCCAGCCTTGGCCTCGAGCTTGTCCCGCGGCGTGGGGCCTGCGGAGACAGGGTGGGGTGAGCCTGGGACTTCCCTGGACCCTGTGCCCAGGTGCCACTGGCTGCGATGGGGAGCACGCGGGTTGTGGAGGGACGGCCCGGCCTCCTAACCCGCCAGGGGCACACCAGGTGTGCCAGGGAGGGCGGGGCGCAGGCCCCCAGCGTGTGGTGTCTGTCACCAGCCCCCTCTGCAGGGGCTTTGCCGGAGTGACTCCTGGCGCAGGGCTCTTTCTGGAGGGCCCAGGAGACCTCAGCCCTCTTTGGACCCAGGCCCTGGGGGAGACTTTCTGAGGTCACAGCCACCCAGGCCCTCCACACCCACATTCCTCACAGCGGCTCTGAGTGGGCCCTGCCAGGTGGGTCCCCAAGGCTGCTACAAGCAGGGCCTCAGGTCACATGTCCAAGGAGTCAGGGCTGGAAGGCTGGCTGGGTGTTCTGGTGAGGACCACCCACTGGCGCGCAGCGGAGCTGGATCCTGGCGCCAAGTGTGGCTGCGGCGGCTGAGCAGAGGGACACAGCCCCTGCCTGGGGGCCCTCCCACTGCAGCACCACCTTCAGCATCCACACAGCCAGCCGAGGACGGGGGCCACGGCTGCCGGGGCGAGCCCGCCTCTGGGAGGCCACCATATGGACACCCGCGGGTCACTCCAGTAGCCTAGGCCCAGGGGACAGTCGCAGGGGCAGCAGCTCGCAGGCCTGCCCCGCCCCTCATGTGGTCTCCTGGCCTGTCCCTCCCTCTGCTCAGTTTATCCAACTGGGGGGATGGTGGCCATGGCTGCCTGTCACCCCCCATCACCTCCCCACCGTCCACACAGCTGTCTGCACGCACACCCGGCTGCTTCTCTGCGCTGGGCTGGGAGTGCGGGCGTGTCCCCTCAGGACCTGCGCAGTGACCTCGCTCAGTAGAGAGGGCCTTTGAGAAGTGACCAGGCCAAGAGACCCGGAGGCAGGGAGGGGGAGGGCAGGTGCCGGGAGGCGGGAGTGCCCCAGAGCTGGCTCCGGGCGGGGAGGTCACTTCAAGGGGCCCACCTGAGGCCACTCCCCGACAGTACAGTCCCGGGCCATGCCTCTCCCCAGGTGTCTGCCCCAGGGACAAGGGCCCACTCTGCAGTGAGATGCCGACGGGGGCAGGCCTGCCCGCCCCACCCAGCCCTCTGGGCCAGAGGGTCTCTGCAAGGGGCCTGGTACCCAGCAGGCTGGGCGCCCACTGGCCTGGGCAGCGCTGGCCCGAGTGCCCTCTGGGAGCACGACAAGCGGCACCCGCACTGCGCACGGCAGGCCCCTGGCCGGGAGTCCGGATGACGCCCACCCCACCTCTGGGGAGCACCGCTCCGGGCCAGGCCCCGGCTCTCCTGCTGCCCTCGTGGGCTGCTTGCGGGACAGTCCGCAGCAAGTCGCGGCAGCACCTGCCTCAGCTCCGCACCTGGAGCCCGAACTGCCCGCCCCGCGAGGCCCCGCCCCGCGAGGCCCCGCCCCGCGAGGCCCCGCCCCGCGAGGCCCCGCCCCGCGAGGCCCCGCCCCGCGAGGCCCCGCCCCGCGAGGCCCCGCCCCGCGAGGCCCCGCCCCGCGAGGCCCCGCCCCGCGAGGCCCCGCCTACCTGCGCCGGCTGCTGCGGGGCCGAAGAGCCGCTCGGAGCCCACGGACGCCTGGAAGAGAGGGGCGGGCGGCGGGGTCAAGTCCCGCCGGGCACGGGGCCACCCGTCCGGCCAGGGGCCAGGGCGCCGTGGGGCTCGGGCCCGCGGGCGGCGGACTCGCGCGGCTCCGGAGGCCACAGCCCCGGCGCCCCACAGGAGGGGTGCGCGGTGCCCGCCGCTGCCCGCCCGCCCCGGCGCCCGGGCAGGGCCTGCAGGGGCCGCTCGCCGCGGTCAGCAGCCCGGCCGGGGCCGGCCCCGCGGAGGGAGGGTCCCCTGGCGGGCACCGTGCGGGCGCGGCCATTCCCGGAGCCCGGGGCCGCCGGGAGCGTGTCCGGGAAGATGGGCGCGCGGGCCGCCGGCGCCCGCAGACGGCGCGGGGGAGGCGGCCCGGAGGGGACCGACTCGCCGGAGCAAATCAAACACGGGCTAGAGACGCCGGAGGCGCTCCGGGCGGGCCGCCCTCGCCAGGCCGCGCCCGACACGGGCACGTCTCCTGCCCTGAGCGCCGGGAGTCCCCGCTGCGCTCGGACACGGCCGCGCGGGCGTCCCCGGGGCGGACGGCCCCTCCGCGGAGAAGGGCGGGTGTCCGGGCACAGGCCCGCCCGGCGGCTCGCCTGCCCGCCAGGGGCTCCGCGGCTGCCCCATCGGGGCCCGCTGAGGGCCCCGCGACGCCTGCCACCCCGGCCCGCTCTGCTCCCACCCGCGATGACCCTCCACCCCTGCCCACGGGAGCCGCGGGGGGGCCGGCCAGCGCTCGAGCGGCAGCGGGCAAGTGGGGGCCGGCCCGGAGGAGGCCTGGCGGGGGCGGGGGTGCCCGTGGGTGCGCGGGCGGCGGGGGCTGGAGCGGGGCTGCCATGCCGGGCCCGCCCCCCTCCACGTTCCAGGGCCGGCTCCGCGGGCGACCCCCAGGAGGAGGCGGCGGTGGCCCTGCCCCCGGGGAGGGGGGCGGTTTCCCACCCTTCGGAGCCCCTCCCAGGCCAGGGCAGAAAGCTCAGGTCCATCCCGCCCCACACCCCGCTCAGGCTCAGGCTCGCCCAGGGAAGCCGGGGCACCCGGGGGCTGCAGGCCACACCTGCTGGGGAAGGCACCCCGGCTGGGGGAGGGCAGCAGTGCAGCCTCCAGCACCCCTCCAAAGGCAGGGGGTCCCTCCAGCTCTCTCCAGCAGGAGGGGCCTGCGGGCCCCAGGGGAGCCGCCCCGGCCGGGGGGACAGGGCCGCAGGCCCCTGATCAGGGGGGGACGGGCCCAGGGCCCCGCGCGGGGCGGGGGCGCGAGGCACTCGCGGGCGCAGCAGGGCTGCGGGGCTCGGGCCCGCGGGGGCCCGCCGGGCTCCCACTGCGTCCCGGGGCGGCGGCGGCCGCAGGTGGAGTCGCGGCGGCTTTGTGCGCGCTGGCCCCGCGGGGCGCCGGCCAGACACGCGGCGGACCCCGCGGGCCGCAGACAAAGAACTCGGGCTCGGCAGGTGAGCGCGGGGGGCGCCGGCCGGGGGCGCGGGCAAAGGCGCCCCCACGACGCCGGGCCCCTCGCAGGGGCTGCGGCCGCCCGGCGCCACGTGCGCCCGGGGGTGCAGGGCGGGGCCGGGGCTGCGCGCGCCCGGCTCCCGGGGGCACTGGGCGGGCAGCGCGCCCGGCCCCCCCAGGGCGGGCGGCGGCCCCGGAGCGCACTCACCGCCCCGCCCGCCGCGGCGCGCTCCGCGGGGGTCGCGCTGGTCCCCGGCCGCCTCCCGGCGCCTGCCCAGCCGGACCGGGCCGGGCGCTGCGGGCGGCTGCGGGCGCTGGGCCTGGGCGCCGGGGCGCGGGGCGGGCGGCGGCGCGGCGGGGCGCGGCGGGGCGGGGCGCGCGCAGCCCCGACTAATCCAGCCCCGAGGCGCGGATCTGCCGGGCCGCCCGCCGGGCCAGCTCCGCCCGGGCCACCTCGCCGGGGCCAGCTCCCCCGGGCCCCCCGGGGCCAGCTCCGCCCGGGCCACCTCGCCGGGGCCAGCTCCCCCGGGGCCACCTCGCCGGGGCCAGCTCCGGGCCAGCTCCCGCCGGGGCCAGCTCCTCGCCGGGGCCAGCTCCCCCGGGGCCACCTCGCCGGGGCCAGCTCGCCCGGGCCAGCTCCGGGGCCACCTCGCCGGGGCCAGCTCACCGGGGCCAGCTCCCCCGGGGCCAGCTCCGCCCGGGCCAGGGGCGTGGGGTCCGCGCGCGCTGGGCCATCTTGGCCCCCGACGCCCCATCCTCGCCGCCGCGACTTACGGGCGACGCTACGCCGGCTGACACCGGGGAGACTGAGGCAGGGGCGCCCCGAGAAGCCGGGCGCCGCGGCAGAAGCCCCGCTTCTGTCCGAGTCCGCCCGCCCCAGGCCTCAGTTTCACCGTCAGCAACACGCGAGGCCCCCGGGGGCGGGGGCGGGTCCTCGCGCCCCGAGGCCGGGCTCCTCTGGGGGGAAGCCGAGTGCAGAGGCGCGCGAAGGCGGGGGCTGCCGGCGCCCCCAGCCGCCTCTCTCCAGGCAGCTCCCGGCCGCCAGCCTCCAGGAGCCCCGCAGGGGCCGCTCGCACACGGCGGGGCGGGGCAGGCCGCGGCGGGGGAACGCGAGCCCCTCTCAGGCCACCGGGCGGCGGGCGCACGCGGGGTGCGTCCTGGGCAGGGTGGGGCAGGAGTATGTCCCAGCGGATCCCAGGGATAGAGGGTGCCCTTGCCGGGCCCAGGGCATCTCTGCGGGCAGAGGAGAGCAGTGGGCATGACCCCTTCGTTACGCTTGGGTTACCCCCAAACACGGCATCCTCTCTACAAGCCCTCTCCGCCCGCTTTCTGCTATAAAACAGCAAACACTAGCTCGGCCCCGCACCCAAGGCCGCTGGAGGACACCGGCGGACGCAGGAGCAAGGGGCCTGCGGGGCGCTGGACACCTGTCCTCCCGCAAGGCCTCAGCGCCGGGGCTGGGAACAGGGATCCTGGGGGAGGGCCGAGGGCCGGGCTGGGGTCTCCCCTGGCCGTAGGCCGCAGGGCCTCCAAGTGGAGGGCAGGGTGCTCACCCGCGACCCCAGCAGAGCCCAAGCGCCCCACCTGCATGCTGTGAGGTGAGAGGGCGGGCCTGTGGCCGCTCATGTGCTGACCTTGAACTGGGGGACAGTTGGGGCCAGGGGCCGCCAGCGGAGGAGGGGCAATGGGGGGTGGCTGTGGGAGGGAGCAGAAAGGGCCAGAAGCTGGGTGCCCGGAGAAGCCTGAAGAGGCCCACGTCCCTGGACGGCCGGTGCCCACTGGCCCCAGCCCAGACACGACCATGGTAACACGCAGACCCCTCCACACCCCGGTGCCATTGACGCAGGAGCAGCTGGGCGCCCACAGCAGCCCCACGTTGGCCCCCGAGTGCCCATCAGGGCTTGGGTCAGGCTCAGGGCCTGGAGGGGCGGGCAGAGGGAGAGGGGCAGTGGGTCCTCCAGCAGGGGTGGCTGAGCTGAGCCTGGGAGGAGCGGGACCAGGCCGGGGCAGGGGAAGAGCCCTCGCCCACTCAGCCGCGCAGCCAGCCTGGGGGGCGGAGCCTCGGGGTCAGAGCCCTGGGCCCGGGGAGCCGGGGCGTCTGTCCACCAACAGGAAAGGTGCCGTGGGGGCGAGAGGAGGCCTGTAAGGGGACCCTCCTCGGGCAGCAGGGTCGCAAGGGGCCAGGTCGGGGCGGGGGCAGACCAGACTGGACTGTGACTGGGCCGGCCCCACCCAACCTGGCCTGGCCAAGCCCACTGGCAGCCTCAGGTTCGGCAGGACCAGGCGTCCCCCCGCCCCAGCGGGATGCCCCCCCAGGAGCAGGAGCTCCGGCGGCAGTGTGGGTGCAGAGCTGTGGGGACGGCACAGCCCCGGCCTGACCGAGGCCTCACCAGCGGCTCGGAGCCCCGCCTCCCGGGCCAGGGAAGGCAGGTTCTGCCCAGAGAGGACAGCAGCTGAGATCAAAGTCCAGAGGGCGCGCGGCCAGGTGATGGAGAGACCCGAGGCCGGGAACCCAGGGACCCTAAATGTCAGCTCCAAACCAGACCCGCGGGCAGGGGGCACCCAGCGCTCCGCCCGGCCATGCCACAGCCACCGCATGTGAGAGACAGTGCCCCCTGGCGGCCCCCGACAGGGCATGTGTGCGGTGGGGCATGGGACGGGGCAGCCTGCCCCCTGTAAGTCCCAGCCAGGCTGGGAGTGGGGCCTGGGCGTGGACAGGCCTCAAGGCAGTGCCCAGGGCAGGCATCAGGGACGCCCCAGGGAGCCTGCCCAGGCAGTGATGGGGCCCCGCCTGGGCCGGGCCAGCAGGCAGCGGGGGCTGCCCAGCGTGCGACTGCAGCGTCCTGGCCAGAGGGGTCAGGAGCTGGGGCAGAGCTTCGCAGGGCATGAGGCTGAGGCCCGAGGCTGGATGGGCCGGAGCACCGAGGACAGGCCTGCAGCTGCCCGGCTCTGGCCCAACAAGGCCATTCAGGCCCTGCGGCCAGCAGACACAGTGCTCGCTGGGGCCAGGCCAGGCCGGGCCGGGGGACATGGAACCCACCATGCCAGGCAGGAGCCTGGCTCCTTGGGCCAGAGGCTGTGGCTGTGGAAGGGTGGGCGCACCAGTCAAGGGCAGCACCGTCCGCCTGGACCCCAGCAAGCGCTGGCGGGAGGGAAGGCCTGTGCGGTGGGGCCTGCCCACAGGTGGCTGGAGCATGGCGTGGGGGAGGGCTGGGGCACCTCCAGCCTCCCAGGGCCCTGAGGGCCGCCTGGCAGCCCAGAACCTGAGCGCTACTGGGCCGTCCACAGGGCCCAGAGCGGCAGCCGGTGAGCAGGTGAGCAGGTGGAGACGGGCAGCCAACCTGGCCGTGGCAGTGGGTGGGGCCCACCAGGCACAGAGGCAGTGCCCGGGGTCTGCAGGGAAGAGCTGTGCCTGCGCCCCCAGGCATAGGCCCACGGGATCCCAGCTTCAGCCTCTTGGCGTTCTCCAGGGCCGGGGCCTCTCCTGGCCACCTGCTGCTGGCTGCCCCCGCCCGCCTGTCCCTGTTGTGAGAGCCAAGGATGGGCCCCCTGTGGGAAGTCCAGCAGGTGGGAGGGAGACAGCCCCTGCAGGAGGGTGGCAGCCAGCCACCAGGCCGCTGGACAAGCAGCAGCAAGGTCCAGACGGGTACAGAATGACCCACCCAAAGTTTTGCGCCCACACCCGCAGAGAAGCCACCAGCCCGCAGCCCGGGCCCCAACCAGGCACGGCCACCCCCAGGCCATGGAGTGGGCCCCACAAGGTGCTGGGCAGGGGAGGGGGGCGCAGGGCCCTCTGTTGGCCTGTCTGCAGGAGCACAGAGCCGGTGGCAGTGCCCAGGACCCTGGCCGGGAGGGCGGGAGCAGGGAAGGGGACCTGGGGAGCTGCAGTGGGGGGGCTTGGGGCGAGCCGGCTGGCCAATGAGGAGGAGCTGGGTCTTCTGGCTGCCCCGCTGCAGAAGCCTGGCCAGGGGCCGTGGCCATGTGGCCACACCAGTGAGTACAGACCAGGACCTGAGGCCCATTTGTCTCTCCCTCCTGGCCGCTGGCCGGGGGCCTCTCACGCCTGCAGCCGGCGACACCCAGGCCAGCGGCACCACCAGAGCAGAGCCTGGACCCGGGTGCCCATGGTGCCTCAGTGGCCTGTCCTGTGGGACACCCCACCCGGGCCCCTGCCCCGCTGCTGCTTTGCACCAACCGCACCCTGCCAGGTGGGTGGGCCACAGGGAGCAGAACGCTAATCAGGGGCTGGGGCAACAGCCGCCCCCGGCTCACAGCACCCCCAGCGGGCACGCAGCAGGCAGTGCGGGCGAGAGACAGGCCTGCTGCGCACCCCCACCCCAGGAAGCGCATCCTGCCTTCCCGCCTGCCCGCCGGCTTACCTCGTCGTCCCCGCCGCTCTCACTGTCGCACTGTGGGGAGAGAGAGGCGAGTTGGCGCAGCCCAGCGCCACCCACATAAGCGCTGAGACCCCTCCCCAGGCCTCTCCCTGCCAGTCAGGACACAGAGCCCGGGAGGGAGCTCAGCCCCTTGGCCCTAACTTGGGCCGCACCCCCGTTTCTCCCCCAAGGTTACCCTCCGTCTGCGGACACTGAGCTGGTGGCCCCTCATCTGGAGAGCCCAGGGCCCCTCTAGGCTTCAGCTGGGCCCTGGGTATCCAGTAGGCCGGAGCTGGGCCCTGGACCCGAGTTGCACAGCCACCTCGCCGAGCCTCCCGGGCAGGAGCTCCGCTCCCCGTGCTCAACTCGTGCTTCTGCCCAGGCAGACCGCAGCCGGGGAGCCTGGGGCGCGGGGGGACTGCCACCCCTCCACGGCGACCAGCAGGCACACGCGGGCAGGGCCCTGTGAGGTCGGGCGAGGCAGAGCTCAGCCCCGGGGCCATGCCACCCACAGGGCCACCAGAGCAAGCCCGGGTGTCAGGGGTCAGCCACGAAAGGCCACTCCTGTCTCTGGTGTGAGCGGCCTCCTGAGCTCCTGCTCCCGGGCCAGCCGCCGGGGCGGGGCTCACTGCACCTCACTGTGCCCCACCCCATGCATGCCGCCTCCACTGTGCAGCGCCAGCCTTGTCAGCCACGGGGCCTGGGTTCAGCGCTTGGCGTCACTGACTCGGGGCTGACTTGGCGTCACTCGCTCTCGGGGCTGGCGCTGGCACGCGGGCTGCACGAATCTTGATTTGATTTTCAGACGAAAATTTTTTTCTGTTGTTGTGTGTCCAGTGTCTTTGCTGCCGCTCGGCAGAGCCGGCCCAACCTGAGTGCTGCCAAGCTGGATTCCCCAAGTCGGGAGGTGGCCTGGAATAAAAATCCCCCAAAACTGGATTGGGCGGCCGCCCCCCTGCCTGCCCTTTCACACCTTCTGCCCTCTGAGGCAAGTCGTGTCCACTGTGACGGCGGACACGCAGCTGTCTGTCCCCAGCCGGCTCGGGCTGCCTTGCCGTCTCCACCCCTACTGCTGCTGCCCCCACAGCTCGCCAAGCTTCTCCCCACGTGTTAAGAATTTTAGCTAAAAGTCTAAGTCATCAGGAGCGTTTCAGACACATGACTCCAGGGATAGCCCCGCCAGGGCAGATCCCCCAGCGCTCTCCTCAGGAGGCTGTGCTGCCCAGCCCGGCATGGCAGCCGTGCCACCCGCCCCCCCGCCCCCCAAAACAGGTGCTCAGGCTTTATCATCACAGCGTTCCGAGACGGCTGCTCTAGAGAAAAACCATCACTGCCACCTCCATCACTGCCACTCCCTTTCCTCACAGCACCCGACCAGCCTTTGGCAGCATGGGCCTCGGGGAGGGGGCCGTGGGGCCAGTGCAGGCGGCCTTTGTGACGCGGGCCCAGCACTGTGGGTGGCTACCTGGCTGGTGGGCAGGGCCGAGAGCTGCGTCCAAGCCCTCAGCGCCATGTCCACCTGCCTGGCCCCTCATGCCTGGAGTTGCAGCCTGGGGCCAGGGCAGAGCCGGTGGGACTGCAACGGCTGAGCCTGGACCAGGTCCCAACATGGCGCCTGAGGGCCCTGCCACCTCCTCAGGGCCCAGGTACTCACTGGAGCCTGATCAATTTCCTGGTCAGGACAGGATGGTGCCCATTTCACTTCTGTTTACTCAGTTAATTTGCTTTTTATGAGCGTTTGGGCTTTAAAGCAAAGCAAAGCAGGAATCACCCAATTAAGGAGCAATGAAGTCACCACAGCCCAAGGCCTGGGAACACGTCACACAGCAGGATGCACGGCCAGCCCAGAGGGCCCAGCATGGATTGGCGGGGCACAGTGGGGTGGACGGACAGGCGCAGGCCCCACTGCCCGGGGCTCCCCCAGAGAGGGCGCCCGCCCCAGGATGATGGGGGACCTGCAGCCCGTGCCCACCCTCCTCCCTGCCTTGGGCCCGACAGGAAGCTGCTGGCCGGCAGTGGGATGGCCCTGCCATGGCCACGGAACCCAGCTGAGAAAAAGGGGTTCTGTGGGGTTCTCTGAGGGACACGGGGTGGCATCCCTGCCCCCAAGTCCCAGGGCGCCTCCTGCACTTTTGCACATGGCTGAGAGTGGCCTCCGGAAGCCCACGCTGTACCTGCAGTCCTGCATCGGCCACGGTGGCTCTCGGCCACCACCCACAACCCCACACAGGGGCCTGGCCTCTGCCCCCGCGCCCTCCAGGGCTGGACGGGACCCAGCGGCTCCCACGACCCTGCCCGCTGCCCGCCTGGCTCCTGAGGAGCTGGGGGTGCTGCACCAGCCCGCTCGCCCCAGTTCTCTGAAGGAAGACTACACAGCCCCAAGATCCAGAGCCCGATGCGGCCACTGCTGGACACTCTGCTGCAGGCCCCGGTGTCTGAGGGCGTGGGGCGCCCCCACACACCATCTGCACCCCACGACTGCAAAGTCCCAGGAGACGCCCCCAGCGCCATCCTGGCCTCGCAGGGAAAGCAAATGTGCTGGCGCTTTCTGCGGTCAGAGGCCACATGGCCCAGGAAAGGGGGTGCTTGTGTGGGGCCCGGGGGTCTGTCTCACAGGAGCCGCCGTGGGAGGTGCCGGAGTACAGCCCGCTTGGGAGCCTCCCTGCACCCGCGCTCAGCTCCACTCAGGAGCAGACCCTGCCCGGTGGGGCCCAGTGCGGCCGCCTCAGCGCCCAGCAAGCCCAGGCCCCGTCCCCGGCCTCCACGCCAGGTGCCCGTGCACCTGTGCACGCACGTGCATGCAGGCCGCGCCGGGCCTCACTGCCCTCGGCCTGGGGGGAGGGTCTCGTCAGGCCCAGCGGCACTGGCCTCGGCCGGCCGGGACCCCTACACTGAGCAGCCTCAGCACTCTGGGTCAAGCAACCTTGTGCGGGCAGGGCACTGGGGCTGTAAGGCCACCTTGGGAGGCGCTGGGGGCGCGTGGCGAGGGGGTTCACTCCTGACCTTCTGAGCCACCCGCCCCCGGGAGGGCCCCGTGCTCCCCGCCCTGGTCCACGTCCTGGGCTTGGCGTGAGGCGGGTGCCGCACAGGCTGGAGGGGTCACGGGGCATCCACAGGCTCCTGCCCCACCCAGGGCCACGTGTGAGGTGCGGGTCTGGGCGGCAGGGGGAGTCCCGCGGGCGTGGCCCAGCGACCCTCCACACACAAGCCCGAGGCGGCTGCTGGCCATACCGGGCTCCCGACAGGCGTGAGCATCAGCCGTGGGGGAGTGTCCTGGTGGGATGACCCCCCGCTCAGCCCAGGTCAGATGACATGTCCCATGGCAGGGCATGCGGCCGGGCAGGGAGCCCAGTGCATCACACACCCCGCAGAACCACTCCCGCCGTAGCCCAGCGCGGGCCTCCAGGGGGAGGTGGTTGGAGCTGGCGGCCCAGCAGGGACCCGATGGTGGAGAGTTGGGTGCCGCCTTGTCCGCCCCCCACGCCTGGCCCCAGTCCCGCCTGGTCCTGGGCAGGGGTCACCTCCACACTCGGCCTCCACTGCCCCCCTGTGCTGGCAGGCAGCCAGCCCCACCCCACGGCTCCTCCCCAGATACCTGAACGCAGCTTTGGGGAGAAGACAGGACACGTGGGGATTCGCAGCAGAAGTGGCTTCGCCGGCCTGGCGAGACAACTCGGCAGAGAGACCCTCACTGCCCCAGGGCCTGCTCCTGGGGGATGGCACCACCCCTGCTCTCCCCTCCCCCTGCCATCTTGTCCAGTCTAGGCCCCTAAACCCTGCCCCTCATCAGGAGAGAGAGGCCCGTGGCACTGTGCTGACCACAGAACCGGTGCTGCCCAGGAGCAGGGCCCTGCGGGGAGGCCCCCTGGGGGTACAGCGCCCAGGTCAATGGCTCAAGGGCTGGGCTGGTGGACCCTGGGGCTCAGGTGAGGCCAAGAACCCAGTTTAGTCCCCCCAAAGGGGAGCCAGGGGGGTGGCGCCCCGTGAGAGCAGCTGCGGCTCAGGGAGCTGGCCGTTGGGCCTGGGAGCGCCACTAAATCAGGCTGCGCGGTCAGGCAGGGCCAGGTTCCCTCTGATAAGCCCCACGGCTGTCAGGCTGCAGAGGGCCTCGATGGAGCTGAGGGCTTCTGGCGCTCACAGGGAATGGATAAAGACACGAAAAGGGGCCAGGGCCGCTCCCCCAGGGCTGGACCCACCATGCTGGGGGCCCTCGGTCCCCAGACCCAGCACTGGAGCGAGCAGCCCAGGCCTCACCCCGCGTCCAGCCTAAGCCAGGCCTCTGGCGGTCGAGCGTGTGTGGGGGTCAGGACACCGGGGAGGCTGGACGCCATGGGGGCCCCACTGCACAGACAGGCGGTCCGGCCCAGCCCCTCCCTTGTGTGGGTCGGGCAGCAGGCCTGCCAGTGGCCGGACCCGGGGGTGGCACCATGGTGGGAAAGGCCTCGCAGGGGTTCCTGTGGGGCGAGGCCCCCCTCGGGGCAGAGCCAGGGCCAGAGGGCAGGGCCAGGGCGCACACTCACCGAGTAGCCTCTGCCTGAGAGGGCCTGCGCTGAGCTCTGCGGGAGGAAGAGGCCGTCAGAACGGGGCTGCCCCAGGACTCCCCACCCGCGCACTGGGGCGCTGCGGGCCCAGGCAGGCAGGTACCTCAGGACCACAGTACTGAAGCCACACAGGGCAGCCGAGAGCCTTGGGGCTGGAGACCCACACTCGGAAATGCCAGCCCAGCCCTGGGGTGTGTCCACGGGGCCCTCACGCCGGGAAGCGGGGCGAGACCGGGAGCCCACCCTCTAGCCCCCAGGGTCACTGTGTTGGGGGCCTCGCAGGGGTTTCCTGGAGGAGCTGGACAGGTCACTGTGGGGGTTCCGTGGGGTGACCCCGCGTGCCATGCGCTCCCTCAAGCCTCGGGTGTCTGGGCGACCCAGGCACAGGCTGGCGGGAAGGTGCAGGGAGGCCCCCGAGGGGGTGCTGGCTGTGTGTGGCCCGGAGGCCCGGCCGGGAGGAAGGCTGCACTGCACAGTCGGCAGGCGAACGAGGGCAGCCTCTGGCACTGACCAGCCCATTTCCCACCACAGCCCAGCCATCAGGCCCCTCCAGGCGGCGCCCCCAGGGCCTCCACGTTAAGTGCCAGCGAGGGACGACTCATCCCACTCGGTCCTGGACGGTCCCGAAGGGGCCCTTTCCGCTCAGGCCTCCATAGCTGGGGCCGTGGGGACAAAGCCCACGCCAGGCCCCTCCTCCTCCCCCGGCCTTCCCTGCCAAACCCCCAGGGGGGCGCTGCGTTGCCCACAACCGTCTCCTCCCGCCCGGCCCGGGCCCCTCAGCGTGCGGCCAGCGGCCGCGGGGGCAGGAGCAGCAGGCCAGGCGGGGCACTCACGTCGCTGAGTCGGTCCCGGGAGCTGCTGCGCTGGGAGCTGGTAGCCTCGTGGACGCTGTCGTCGTCACTGTGGCGGCCGCCCCCTCTGGACACGGAGACCTTCATCTGGGGACAGGAGAGCCAGGCTCAGCACAGCCCCGACCCCGCCGCCTGCCCTGGCCGCGGCCCCAGCCCTGGGGCGGCTGGGCCTCCCGAGCGGAAACCCGGCGGAGGAAAGGGCAGGGACGCGGGCGACAGACCCCACCGGGCGGGCGGCGGCCAGGAGCACAGAGTGGCCTCCACAGAGCGGAGCGAGGGCCGCGGCAGCCACACCACCCGTCCTGCAGAGGCCCCGGCCCCTCACACCAGAGCCCGGCCCCGCCCGGCCGGGAGGGGGCTGAGTGGTGAGTGACGGCTGGAGGGGCTGGCATCCGCCCCGGGCCCCGTGGGGCACGCACACCCTCGCCACGCCCCTCGTGGCCAGACTCACCACCTGGGCCCGGCCTCCTCAGCTCCTGCTGCCCTCCCGGCCTCCCCACAGGACCTGCTGGGCTGCCGCCCCCCACCCCCCCCACCCCCCCGCCCGGTCCCTGCGGCTCCGCCTTCTGACTCCAGACACACCCTGACCTCAGCTCCGCGCACCCCTGACACCTGGCCCAGCTCCAGGCCGCCCCACCCAGGGCCTGCAGGTGGTCAGAGTGGCTCTGCCAGGTGCACCCCAGAACCGCTCGGGGACCATCCTGAGCCTGGGAAGCCCACGCCCCGCTGGGCCCTTCTGCCCACCCCTGCTGGGCTCAGCAGGCCGCTCCCAGGACAGCCCAAGTCACGAGCCCAGCCCCCCGGTCCTGGGCCCCGGGCTGTGTGGCCAGCATGGCAGAAGGGGTGACTCTGAAGGGGCCTGCGCTCAGGGCCAGCAGCCTGGGGGCCACCAGACTCACCCGCTCCCTCCTAACCGCCGGCCTGGGGCGTGCTGGGGCCAGGCCTGGGGGACAGAGAAGACCCACAGGGCACTCGGATGAGGGGAGGCCCTGGCGTGCCCCACCCGGTGTGCAGACAGGCACAGGTGCCTTCCTCACCACACGCCTGCCACATGCCCAGCCGGCTCCCCCATGACCCCCGGGCCCCGCCTGCCTAGCAGTGGCTGCCACACACCCCCACCCGCCTCCTTGGGCGTGGCGTGTGCGCTGCTCCAGGCCAGCCAGCGGTCACTGACACTGGCCTCACCAGGCCATGGGCACGAGGAAGGAACTGGCTTGGCCCCTGCAGACCCGGGAGCCTTGCAGACCCCAGGAAGCCTTGCAAACCCTCACAAATGCGCCCCCAGTGCCAGGGCACTGGTGAAGCCCCGCCTCGCCCTCCTGAACTGTGGGCCCAGGAGCTCCAAGCCCTCCCCCACCAGTCAGGAGGCCCCATGGGCCTGCAGTGGATGCCTGGCTTTGGCCACAGGCCAGGGGCACCCTAGGGGGTCTCTGCCCGCTGGCCGAGGAGCCTAGGCTGCTCTGCCCGGTGGCCCGTGTCCCATGTGCCTGCCTCCTCACCGCGGCAGCAGGTGTCCAGCAGCTGTGGGGGTGCAGCCCCCAGTGCAGGGCCCAGGTTTTGTGGGAGTCCTTGCCCCCAGCGCCCTCTGGCCGCACCCCTACCTCCACAGCTGGAGACCTGACTCTGCCCAGGAACCCTGGGGGTCCCCTGGTCCCTGACTACCTGCTCTTTGTACTGGCAACAGGGGCCCAGTTCTGAGGCCCCTCCCCACAAGGGGGCACAGCGTGCCCCCGGGCAAGTGTGCCCTCCAGCTCTGGGGTGCCCCTCCCCAGCCCTACAAAGCACCTGTGGAGCCTCCCAGTCCCTCCCTCCAGCGCTGGGTGTCCCCACAAAGGCGCCTGGCCTGGCCCGGCCCGCCGCCCTACTGGGGACGCCGGTGCTGCGTGGCGGTGGGTGAGGGGGCCGTGGGCACCATCCGCCAGCACGGCAGGAGGCCCTGCGCTCCCCTGCGGTGCAGGCTCGGGCTCCGAGTTGGGCCTGCTCCCTCCAGAGGCCCCTGGACTCTCGCTCCACTCCGAGGCCGGGGGCCCGCTGCCAGGAACCAGCCCTCTCCACCCGGCGGGCACAGAGGGGTCAGGCAGGGCCGGGCTGACCGAGCACAGCCCACAGGGTCGGGGCAAGCCACCCGAGGTGGACCCCAGGGTGTTTGGTGAGGGGCCGATGGGCAGCGAGGCTGGCGGGGCCCAGCGTGGACCCCTTTGCTGGGGTTGGGGTGCAGGGCTGCCGGGTTGGGGCTGCAGTGAAGCCAGGCTTGGCCTCAGGCCCGGCTCCCTCCAGCGGCATTTGGCTGGGCCCCTCCGCCCGCTGCCCCGGCTTTCCAGGGTGCCCGGGCGCTCCGGCCCCCAGTACCTCCCAACAGCTGCACCGACCCCAGTGGCCCCAGGCCGGGCCCCTCTGGCACCTGCACTGCCTTCTGCGGCCCAGCAGGGCTCGGCTCCAGAGTGCCTCCTGGGGGGCCTGACCCCTGGGCTCCAGAAGGCCCCCCAACCTCCCACCCGGTTCCCAAGGGGGTTCACCTTCCCTGAGGGATTGCTGCTGGGGCCCAGCAGGGGCGGGGCTGATGGGTTCAGGGGAGCGTGCGGCAGGGCGGGCAGGGGCAGGCAGCCACCCTATCCCAGGGGGGCAGTCAGTCCCAACACTGAAACCGCTGGGCCGTGTGCGGGTGGGGCTCCAGTGCCCCACAACCCAGCCTCCGCTCCTCACGCCTACAGGCCCCACACACAGGCAGCTGAGCCATCCCGAGGCTGCCAGGAGAGGAGAGGCGGCCCCAGGGCGAAGGAGAGGGTGGCAGTGACCCGGGAGCCCCAGGCCTGACCCCAGCCTCAGCCAAGATGCAGCAGGTGTGACCTAGGCTCGGCCGGCAACCTGGAAGCACCGGCGCGACCCCACTGCTCCGGAGGGCCCTGCTCCAGGGGTCTGATCTCCCGCCCACAGCACAGGACCGCCCGGCCCAGCGGGGCCTGAGCGAGTGAGCAGAGCCCAGCGCCCCCGGCCCCCCCGGAGTGCAGGCAGCACGGAGGGGCCTCAGGGCGGGGCTGGGGGGTGCGGGCCGTGCCCCGAGGGCCCGTCTACTCCGCCCCAGGGTAATGATCAGGGCGCGCCCTCCACTGCCCATGCGGGGCGCCCCTCTCGCTCAGCTGCTGTTTGCAGACAACGCTGGCTGCGCTGTTCGCTCTGCTGCCTGTGCCCCCACCCTGGGGCCCACTCTGCCCTTGCTACCTGCGTCGCCCCCTTTCTCCGCGGCACGGCTGGGGCTTGGAGCAACCTGCACCTTCACGTGCCTGAATAACCTGCTGATGTCCTGTCCAGACGATGTCAGGAAGCAGCCTGGCGGGGCCGGGGAGCACGGGGAGGGGGTCCTGCGGGGATGGGGAGCACGGGGAGGGGGTCCTGCGGGGCCGGGGAGCACGGGGAGGGGGTCCTGCGGGCCTGGGGAGCACGGGGAGGGGGTCCTGCGGGGATGGGGAGCACGGGGAGGGGGGTCCTGCGGGGCCGGGGAGCACGGGGAGGGGGTCCTGCGGGGATGGGGAGCACGGGGAGGGGGGTCCTGCGGGGATGGGGAGCACGGGGAGGGGGTCCTGCGGGGCCGGGCAGCACGGGGCGGGGGGTCCTGGCGGGGCCGGGGAGCACGGGGCGCCCCCGGCAGGGCTAACTCGGAGCACCCTGTGGTGAGGCGCAGGCCGCAGGGCTGCCGGGCGGCAGGGAGGTGCGGAGTCCTGTTCCGCCCGGCACTGGCTGGCAGGGCGGGCCGGGACAGGGCGCTGCTGGTGGGCAGAGAATCAAGGGGCCGTGGTCTCCTCGCGCCCGGGGCTCGCTGCATGCTGGGAAGGGCAGCTTGGTCTCCCGCGATTTTTTGCTTTTTTCATTTTTCTTCTCCAAACCACACACGCGTTCCCTGAGGCAGCGCCCGGACACCGACAGCGGCGCCGAGCCACTGCACCCCTCACCCCTGGCCTGCGCGGGGCGCGGGCACCCTGCTCCTTAGAAAGGCCCCCGGGAGCGCAGCCTCTGCTCAGGCACCGTCCAGGGCAGCCCAAGAGGCCAGAGTCAGCAGGGCCTCTCTCCCCGCACCCCTGCCCTGCACTGGCCGCGCCCCCAGGGGTCTCCCGACAGGGCTGCCTGCGGGGCAAGAGGAGAGTGGGCGCCGGACGGGCGCACCCGCGGACACACTCTTCCTGGGCGCTCTGGACGGCCCAGGCCCTTCCGGCACTGGGAGCTGCCAGCCCACGGGATCGCCTACCTCCCCGAGCCTCCGAGACCTGCCGGAGCCTGCAGGGACAGGCCCGCGGCCCGGGTCCCCAGCAGGAGAGGCCGCCCCCAGAACCCAGGACGCCCGCCATCCCCGCTGCAGGCAGGGCCACCCCCACACCGGCCTCATGCCTGAGCTCCACCACTGGGCTCCCCGGCCCACAGCCAGATTCACTCAGGCGCCCGAACCTTCAGGAAACTGGGTGCAGGCCCCCGTGCCTACGGCCCCCAGCGTGGTGGGGCCCTGGACGCAGTCCCCACTCCCACCGCAAGGCGCTGCTGCCCTGAAGCGCGGCCCTCGGAGCCCGAACCCCCTTCAGCCCTCGATCGCGCGGGCCGTGGAGTGAGGCCCTGGTGCCCCAGGCCTGCCCCAGCCATCTGCACCGAGACCGGCCCCCCCCACAGAAAGGAGAGCTCCCGGCATCCGTGGCACCAGGAGCCGCCCCCGAGCCCCAGGCACGCCCTGGTCCCCATCAGCTCCAGATGGGCCCTCGAGGCTGCCGCCCCCCAGGCCGGGCTGTGCCCCTCCCCAGCTGCCATCCTGGGAGACAGCAGGACGCGCGACCCTCCCGCACCCCCCCCCCCCCCGCTGCTGCGGACACGGTGGCACGTGGCACGGCACTTTTTATTTCCTTTAATCAGAAAAGTAACCCCGCCGCGCTGCTGGGGGCCCGGGAAGAGGGCCGGCGCGCCTGGGGCGAGGGGACAGGCGCCGTCCTCCGGAAGGGCAGTGCTGCCCCCGAGGGACGGGCACGCCGAGCCTGACGGAGCCAGGCGGGGCGCTGCGCTTGGAGAGGGCAGCCCCAGAGGCCCTGAGGTCCGCAGTCAGAGCTGAGCCCCTCCCGGGGCCAGGATTCCAGGTGCACTAGGTGGGCCCGGCGCCCCCAGGAGGGGCCCCTCTGAGCTCGGCCCAGGCAGGGGGAGGGGCGCGGCACCACCGGTGAGACCTGGCCCGCCACAGCCAGCTGGAGCGCACCCGGCGGGCCCCCAGGGCCAGGGCGTGTGAACAACACGCCCCCGAACCAGCTCGCCCAGCCGCAGCCGCAGCCGGGCAGGCACAGGCGGGCGGGTAAAGCAGGGGTCCTGCCAGGGTCCTCTCCTCTCGTGGGGTCCGGCAGCCCCAGCCTGGAGCCCTCCTCCTCAGAGCCTCGGCTGCACTGCCAGCGGCCAGGCCCGCAGGGACAGGGCCGCCAGCCGGTCCGGCACACGGCAGGCCGCGGGGCCGCGATCCTGGCCTGGCCCCGGCCCCCGCCGCCACACCGGGCAGGCCGAGAGGGGACCTCAGGCTCCAGGGCTCACGGATGGGGCCTGGCGGGCCGCGGCGGGGGTGGAGGATCTAGTCCGTCGGGACCTCAGCAGCCGGCCAGGCCGGCCCAGGGTCAGGAGCGAGAGCCGAGGCTGATGACCCCGACCCAGGTCCAGGAGGGACCGCCGTGGCTGGCCCGGGGGCCCCAGGAGAGGCCGGCGGGAGAGGGACGGCCGCCCAAGCAGCGACGGGCGCTCGGGGAGGGGGAGCAGCGGCTGGGGCTTGCAGGGGTGGCCCGGGCCCAGGAGCGACTGCAGGGGCTGGCCGGGCTGTTTTGAGTCCAGGAGTGGCCGCTTTCGCCGACAAGGCTGTTCTGGGCCCAGGAGCGGCCGCTTGGACGGGTGGGAATGTCCTCGGCCCAGGAGCGGCCGCTTTTGCTGGCTCGGCCGCGCGCAGCCCAGCAGTGAAGGTTTGGGAGCCGCGAGCTGCTCCGGGGCTTCGCCTGACTGCTGCGGCTGACGGAGGCCCAGCAGCGTCCGCCGGGGGCGGCTGGGCTGGCCCAGGAGGGACCTGCGTGGCTGGCTGGGGGCCGGGAGTGTCCGCTGGGGGCAGCAGCACTGGTCTGAGAGTGGACTGGAAGGCCGGCGACGTGGGCAAAGCATGAAGAGTGACCGTGGGGGCTGGCACCGCGGGCACTGCGCTAGCAGAGACCGAAGGGGCCGGCGCCTCTGTCCTGAGGATGCCCTACTGGGCTGGCCACGGGGACACGGAGACCCCCATGACCGTGTGGGCCAGCAGCGGTGCCAGAGGGCCAGCAGGGGCCAGCAGAGGTGGCACGGGCCCAGGAGGGAGCGCAGGGGCCGAGAGAGGTGGCATGGGCCCAGGAGGGAGCGCAGGGGCCGGTAGAGGTGGCACGGGCCCAGGAGGGAGCGCAGGCGCCGGCAACGTTGCCGGGGGCCTAGAAGTGCCCAGCGTGGCCGGCAGGGCTGAGCCAGTAGTGACCGCTGGGACCGGCAATGCTGATCTGGGGCTGGAAGTAGCTGCTGGGGCCGGCAGGGCTGACCTGGGCCCAGAAGTGACCGCCGGGGCTGGCAGTGCCGTCTCGGGCCCGGAAGTGACCGCTGGGGCCAGCTGCGCTGACCTGGGGGTGGCCGCTGGGGCGGGCAGGGCTGCCCGGGGTCCGGGAGAGCCTGACGGGGCTGGCAGCGCCGACACGGGGTTGGGAGTGAGCCCTGGGGCGGGCTGGGCTGGAGCTGCTGCTGGTGCTGGGCCGGGCGGTTCTGGTCCCAGTGGTTGGCTGGGAGCGGCCCCCCTTCGGGGGAGCACACCTGCATGGAAGAAAGAGCACGTGTCCACCTGGGCAGGTGCGCCCACAGCCCCCCGTCCAGCCCAGGCCCGAGACATGCTGCCCTCACCAGCAGCCCGATCCCCAGCGAGGAGAGGGAGGAGCGAGACCAAGAGGAGCCCCGCAGTGAGGCGTGTGCCCGAGTCCAGAGGGAATGGGCAGGGCCAGGCCCCGCGCTGCACCCCGCGCACCGTGGCTCCCAGCCACCAGCACCACCGGCCACCTGGGCCGTGCTGCTGCGCAGACACTGGACACGCAGTCGGCGCAGCTGACAGACGCACGCAGACGGGGCCGGCCTACCAGCTACGCCCTCCTGCCCGAGCCCAGCGCACACCGCCCGGCCCCGCTCGTTGCCCCGTGTGGGCACCCGCCCTGGCGGGCCTGGTCGGCTAGGAGCGGGTGGGTTTGCGTGTCCCCACGCCCGGCCCCACGACGATGGGCTCGCTGCCCGGCAGCCTGGTGCCCAGTGGCGTCCAGGCACCGCAGTGGTCAGGGCCGGGCCCAGTCTCACCTGCTGGGCGGGCTGCAGGGGCGACTTCTTCGGGCCCCGCTCGCAGGCGGGCTCCGGGTCCCGCGCAGAGCCGCCCACCTCCGGGGGCCACCCGTTCTCGCTGGGCCCCGCCGCGGCTCCCGCCGCCGGGCAGCCCTCCGACTCGCGGGGCTTCTTGACCAGGCGACGCTCCCGCTTCTCCTTGCGCTCGTGGGGCTGCAGGGCCATGTCCTTCTGCGGGGGAGACAGCCAGTGAGCGGGGCCGGCACAGTGCCAGGGGTTCCCCAGGGAGAGCCGACACCCGAGCTCTTCAGCCCTGCCTGGGAGCGCCCCTCAGAGCTGGGGGGGGGGCAGGTGGTGGCCGAGCTTCCCCAGGGCCCCGCAGACGCGCCCTGCTGCCCTGACCCAGGCCGCCCCCAGAGCATCCGCCGAGCCCAGTGCGGCTTCCTGACCGGGCCGTGGGGAGCGCGTGCTGCCCCCTGGGGCGCAGCCCCACCTGCCGCGTGACCCTGTGACAAGGCACCTGGACCTGCGCGCAGGGCGGGAGACACCCGCCAGCTTGCACTGGGGTCACATGGGGACAGAGTGGCCCTCACTGCAGGAGGGAGAACAAGGCTCAGAAGCATCTGAGGTGCTCCCCACGTAGGGGCGCCCCCAGGAGCTGGTCGCTGGGGCTGCAAAATGGCGTGGCCTTGGCCCACCTGGCGGGTGGCAGGAGGGACCTATGTCCTGCTGCCGGGTGGGTCTCCGCAAGTTGAGCGGCAGCCGGTTGAGGCCAGACCACGCCCCTCCTGCGGGGACAGCCCTCCAGGCACAAGGTCCCCAAGGCGCCCGGACGTGGTTCACGGTCGCAGGAGCCACAGGCACGGGGCAGAGACCTCCCTGCTCGGGGGGACAGCCCCCCCACCTCCGCCACATCCTGGTACCTGCCACCTCCCAGCCACGCTCAGGCCCCGCCAGCGCTGCCAGGGCTCTCGGTGCAGGCATGGCCCAGCTCAGTGGGCACCGCCAAACCCCCACTGACCGGGGAGCAGTGAGGCCCAGAGCCCCCATGCTCGCTGACTGGCCAGCCCCATGGTGCCGGGGGCCAGCGGCCGGAGAGGAGACAGTCAGGGTGCAGGCCAGGCTCAAGGGACAGGCTAGCGGGGGTGCACAGGCTGTGGAGCAGCAGCCAAGGCCCCCACGTGGCGCGGCACATGCTCCCACGGGCTCAGCCAGCTGTGGCCGGGGGTGGGGGGACCAAGCAGGGTGTCTTGACCTCGGGCGGGTGGGTGACTCCTGAGCACCCATGGGTGCTGACCTTCTTGTGGCCGGCAGGACCCAGCTTGCCCCGCTGACTCCCCAGGCTTCTGAGTCCCTGTGGTGTCAGCCCCATGAGGGAGCAGCCGGTCTCGAGAGGCCCAGCTCAGCCGGCCCTGGCGCTGCAGACCCAGCTGCTGGGCTAGGGACTCTCGGGCGGACAGAGCCGAGCCAGCAGCAGGGGTGCGGTACGGCGCGGCATCTCCCACACCCTCACCAGCGCTCACAGGCCACACAGGGCACCCCGGGCTCAGCAGCACCATCTCACCCCACGGCGTGCTTGGCGGGCATGGCCTGAGACACGATGCGTCCCGGGAGCCTGAGACGCCAGAGCTGGCTCCTTTCCAGGGTTCAGACTCTGGGTCCAGGCCTGGCGGGTGGCAGGTGGGGTTCCAGGCAGGGCCTCAGGCACTGTCCCCCACACAACCAGCCACCCCCCTGGTCAGCACACACCCACGGGCAGACGGGGCCACGCAGACCCCTGCCCCCTGCAGAAGGGCCCACGAGCCCCACAGCCTCTCCCCAAGATGCTTCCGCACCGAGCGCTGCTCCCCGGCAGGGCCAAGGGCCGCACGGCGCCCAGGAGGCTGAGCACGAGAGGAGACAGGTGTGCACCGGCACCACCTGACCCACGCCCCCTGGACAAGGGCAAGCCCAGCGCCCCTCTGCCGAGCTCAGGGGCTGGGGTGGCCGAGGTCTTGTCTCCACACCTCCCAGACTGGGCCCCCACAGGCTGAGATCTGGGCGACCGCGCAGCCTCCAAGGGGTGGGGTGCAGGCTAGACCGAAGGAGGACCCTGGATGCCAAGGTTCCCTTGAGTCCCTCTGAATTGTGGTCCTCGGGCATTGAGGACCTCAGGTTGCTTGGAACTGGGTCCCCTGTGTTGCCCCCAGTTCCTAGCCCAGGGCGAGCGGACAGCCGTGCAGGGCTGGGTCTCCCGTGGAGGTGGGTCTCGGCACCCTCCTGGGGACTGGCCAGTCCAGGTGCCTCAGGGCTCCCAGGGCCCTTCCTCCCGCTGAGCCCACCTGGCCTCACATCTATCCCCATACCCCAGGGCCGGAGCTCCCAGAGGGGCAGGCTCAGAGAGTAGCTGGGGCCACGGCCCAGCCGTTGTGGGTGGCGGGAGGAGATGCTGGAGGAAGGCCCCACACCGAGAGCAGGGGTGGCTGCCGTGGGAGGCCATCCTGGGCCGATGCAGCTGCTGCCCACAGCTGTTGCTAGCTTTGCCTGACGCCGTGGCAGGCACCTGCGTCTCCTCACTTGCCAAGAAACGGGGAAACTGAGGCACAGAGCAGGCATGGCCAAGGCCACAAGTTGACAGTGGATCTGGACAGGGCCTCGAGGACACGCCCTGAGTCTGCTCTGGGGATGGGGGGGGGGGCACGCGCAGGGGCCCAGGGCAGCGTGCATGGGCGCGGGACCCGGGTGGGAGGCAGGCAGGGACAGGCCTCACAGTGGGTGGCAGACGGGGCCCTGGGGACCAGATCAACCACACGTGATCCCAGGAGCCAGGTGCCCCGGTCAGCCTGAGACGAGCCACAGGCACCTCCCTCAATGAATGCCCTGGAGCTTCAGAGGCTGCTGGATGCGAGGACCAGCACACAGGGCCAGCCCGGGGCCCCAGGGGTGAGGAGACTTGTGGGAGGACCTCGCGGGCCCTGCAGGACTCTGGCTCTTACTGGCAGCGGGTGTCCCGGGACCACAGCTAGACTGGGAGTGGCCAGAGAAAAAACGCAGGGGGCTGCCCTGTCCAACTCAGTGTGACCGGCAGGATGACACAAAGAGGAGCTTTCAGGCAAGGGATGGCCACACGGGACCAGGGCCCCTGGAGATGCAACTGCATCTCTGATCTGAATGCCGGCCACGAACCAGACAGTCTAGTGGGCTCTCAGCATCGACTCTGGACTCTGCGTGATGCTAAGCCTGCCTCAAGGCCAGGAAAGGCCAGTGGCCAGAGCAGCTGGGAGGCCCGCCGCTCCCTGGGGCGCAGAACCCCAGCCCCAGCTCCAGCTGCCCTGCGCTGGGCATCACCCTCCCCCCACCCCGTGACAGCCTGTAGGGGACCCTGAGCCCACCTGGCCTTGGCCTGATGCCATGTCACCACAGGTCAGGTGGCTCCTCTCCCTAGAGTGGCCCCCCTGAGGGTCAGGTGTGCACCTGCAGATGGCCGCTCAGATTCCACAGCTGCCCACTGACCCCTGGCCGATCAGCCCGTGGGCCCCACCCACCAGCACCCTACGAAGAAGCAGAGCGGGGCCCCAAGACCCTCTCCAGGTGGGCCCGGCAGGGGTACTGTCGGGGGACCCCCCACAATCCGCATAGGCACAGACAGGGCGGAGGATACCGGCCAAGGAGGCGCCGACCAAGCTCTAGCTGAGCACAGCCAGCAACTCCACAGCGGGTTTTATGCCAGGAACTTCTCAGACAAACCAGGGCACCGGACACCCCACGCATCCAGAGGAGGCTGATGCACCGGCCTGAATCCTGGGGCAGCAGCTCGTGCCCTTGTGCCCCTGCCCCGCCCAGCAGCCCCTCCTCTCAGAAGCCCCAAGCGAGCATCCCCCTCCTGAGTCCCAGGGGCAGTCTAGAGACCAGAGCATGTGCGCTCAGAAGGAAGGGACAGGTCAGGGCCCTCCTGCTGACCAGCAGTCATTTCCAGAAGCCCGCCCCACACATAAGCCCCAGCACCAGCGGGGCGCCGAGCGCCTGGCCCACAGCAGGGGCTCCAAGCACAGGCTGGGGCGAGGCCCCCTGGTGGCCACTCTGGCCCCTGCACCCACCGCCAGCTGTGATGGCCTCCAGCGCCCCGTCCTTCCTGCAGAACAGTGCTCCTGGGACAACACAGCGAGGCCTCCCCGCCTGCAAGGGCAGTCCCTTGCCCCACACCCCAATGAGGCTCCCCAGCGGGGCCCGGGCCCGGGAGCTCTGGCCGAGCATGCAGAGAGCCGGCCCAGGAGCAAGGCAGCACTGGGCAGAGCGCAGCCGTGCAGACCCAGCCGCCAGCGGTCAGGACAGAGAGGGAGGCCCCCAGACTGCCCAGGAGCTAAGAGGTGGGCAGAGCAGGTGCCCCCACGACAGCAGCCCAGCCCAGGGAGAGGCGTCTGGGCAGGGGTGTTCCTGGGAGCGCGTGGACACCACCGTGGCCTCGCCGGGGCAAGGGGCAGACGGACTGACCTGTCAGGAAGGGAGCGGCGCACAGCTGATCCAGGCTGTGCGAGACAGAGGGCCTGGGCCCCTTGGGGCCATGTGGGTCCAGACTGAACCGGGAGCCCAGAAGTGATGGCCCCAGCAGCTGGGGGGTCAGGGACAGGCGCTGGCACAGCCCAGAGCGGCGACGCGAGGCCCTCTGCCCGCACGCTTGGGCCCCGGCAGGCCTGACCACGCGCCTCAGGACACCTGCCAGCCAGCCCCGATCGGCGTCCCTAGCTGGGGTCTGGGTGGGCTGGGCCGGTCAGGGCCAGGCAGGCAGGCCGGGGAAGTGAGAGAGACAGAAACGGGGCTGGGGAGGCCCCAAGACCAAACGGACACGCGCACACACGCCCTCCTGCCTGGGAGCCGCGGCCCGCCCAGCGCTCAGGGCGGAGGTGGTGGCGGCCCCGCGGCAGAGGCCCCTCCGCACAGCAGACCCAGCGGCGAGCACAGAAGTGTACGGGGGAGGGGCAAGCCGGCCACGCTTGCAGAGCCAGGACAGGGCAATCAGGGAAACTGGGGCGCAGAGGCCTCCCCTGCAGATGGCCACTGCCCAGCCCAGGAGGCTCCAGGGGGCGCCATGCAGCACACGGGCACGTCTCCAGGGACACCCAGGGGCTGACACCTCCTGCCCAGTGACCACGGGCAGCTGGTGGCACCAGGGAAGCGGGGACCGGGCAGAGACCCCCAGCTAGGCCCCAAGGGCCTTCCTGTCACCCCTGGTCAACGTACCAGGGAGCAGAGCCGCAGCGGGAGCCGCCTGTCCATTCCAGATGGCTCAGGGGTCCTCGCCCAGAACAGGAGCAGTGGGGAGAGCCCAAGAGCTCCACACTACAAGCCCGCTGTCCACGGCCACCTGCTCGCTGCCCCCACCTGCCAACAGAACTCAACAGGGGCGGGGGCCTCTGTGGCCTCTACACACCTCCCACTCAGACAACATGCTCCAGCCACCTAACCCAGACCGAGTAGACATGACTCACCCCTGGGCTACAGACAGCCCCCCCAGCCAGGCCAGAGCCTCCACATCTACAGAGCGCCTGTGGCACCCTCCGTGCTGGCCAGTGGCTGGGGCATCTCTTGCGGCCCCAAAGGCAGGGACTCGACCTGCCGACACACACTCCCCAGAGTGTGGCAGAGCCAGGCTGGCCCCAGCGCCTGCTCTGTGCAGGGGGACGGGCAGGCCGAGGCAGCCACATCCACCACAGCAAGAAACTGGGCCAGAGGAGGCACTCCCGAGCACAACTGTGAGTCGGGGCGAGCCGGCAGCTCCAGGACCTAGGAGGGCAGCAGCACCAGGTGGCAGGCTGGCCCAACCTACAGCAACCCGCCCGGAGGCTGCCCTTCAGGTCCCTGGTGCAAGAGGCCGGCCAGTCCACTCCACCCGGGCCAGGGGTGCCCTCCAGGCGGCTCCCCGAACCCTGGCTCTCCTCTCACTCCCTTTCCCTGATACTCCAGGGAGCAAGGGGCCGGCCGGGCCACACAGGCCACCAGGACCCGCTCTCCTCCAGCCGACAGGTCCTGGGGGCGCCAGCAGGGCAGGGACAGCTGGGGAGGAAGGGCTGACCAGCGCCAGGTCGGGAGGCCGAGTGACATTCGGGGAGAGGCCCCGCGCGCAGGAGGGTGCCTGGGAGAGGCCCCTGGAGGAGCCTCCCAAGGAGGGCGGGTGCTGTCGGCACGCGGAGCCGCGCGACCAGCCGGGAGGCCGGCGAGACCCCGGGCCATTCGCGTCCCACACAGAGCCCGGCGCCGCGCCGGCCCGGCGGGAGCCGTCTCCCCCGCCGCCGGGCGCACGGGAGGACCCCGGGCTGGTGGCCCCCAGCTCCCCACAGGGGCCCAGCGGGCGGGCCCGGGCTGGGCCCCTCCGCGCGCACGCGGGCCGGGCAGCCCCGCCGGCCGCTGCCCACCCCGCCGGGCCCCACCCCCGCCGCGGAGGGTGCGCGGAGCCGGGCGGCCGGGCGGGCGCCTACCTCCAGGGCCTCCAGCGTGCTGAAGCTGGCGATGGCGAAGCCGTCGATGACCTCCTCCTCCTGCGAGCTGGACTCGCGGCGGCGGCGGCGCGGGGGGCGCGCGGCGGCGGCGCGGGGCGCGGGCGCGCGGGGCAGCCCCGCGTTCTCCTTGCCGGGCCCGGGCTCGGCCTCGTCGCCCGACGACGCGCTCCGGTCGCGGGCGTCGCGGGCCGCCTCCCGGCGCCGGCCGCGGTCCCGCTGCGCGCGCGAGCGCCGGCTCTGGCGCGCCTTGGCCTCCATGGCGCGGTGACCTTGCGGCCGGCGCGGCCTCGCGGCCGGGCTACGCGGCGCCGCCGGGGCGGGCGCGGGCGCGGGGCCGGGGCGGCGGGCGGCGGGCCGGGCCGGGCATGCCGCGGGGCTCAGCCCCGGGCCCGGCGCGGCCGGGGCGCCCCGGCGCGGGCGGCCGCGCGCCTGGCGGGCGGCCGGCGCTCAGCGGCCCGGGGGGCGCGCCCCATGGGGGGCGGGGGCGGCGGCGCGGCGGCGGCGGCGCGGCGGGGCGGCGGGCCGGGCCCAGGCGCCGGGCTCGTGAGGCGGCGGCCGCGGCGCCCCGAGCGGATAACAACTGACGCACTTCCGGCCGGACGCCCGCGCCACAGGAAGTGACGCGCGCCGAGCCCGCCCGCCGCCCGCCGCCCGCGGGCCACGCCCCTGGGCGGGGCCTGGGAGGCCGCGCCCCTCCCGCCCCGGGCCCGCGCCCCTCCACGTGCGCGGCGGGGCGGCGGGACCCCGCGCGGCCTGGGGGTGCGGGTCGGGGCGTCGGAGCCGCGCCCGCCGCGGCCTCCCTCCGAAACGACCTTTGTGTATTTGTTTTTTGACATCATTGTTTTTTCATTTTTTTTTTTATATATTTTTTTCCATAATTTTTTTGTTACTTTATTATTATTCTTTTTTAAGATTTATTTATTTATTTACACAAGCACTGGGCACAGTCAGAAGCGCGGGAGGGTGAGAGGACTCCCCAGAGCCAGAGCGGGGAGCAGAGCAGGCAGAAGGGCCGAAGTACACCGCTGAGGGGAGCAGCGGGCGGCAGGAGAGGTCTGCGCGCCATGCGGGACCCTCCTCCGGTGGCCGGGGAGCAGCCGGGGATCGAACCGGCGCTGCAGAGGCCGCGGGCGGCTTCGCAACCCAGCGCTCAACCGCTGCGCCACCGGGGAGGCCCAGTTTTTTCATTTTTTAAGAAGATGTATTTATGCGTACAAGAACTGGGGTACAGGCCAGAGATGAGGGGGCGTGGGAGGACTCCCCAGAGACAGCCGGGAGCAGAGCAGGCAGACCGACTGAAACCCACGGCTGAGGGAGCAGCGGGAGACAGGAGGGGTCTGCTCGCTGTGTGGGCAGCACCCTGGCCGGCCGGGGATCGAACTCGTGCTGCAGAGGCTGCGGATCGCTCCCTAGTGCGGTGCTTCACCCCTTGGCCACCAGGGAGGCCCTCTTTCATTTTAACAATGTTTTGTTCCCCCCACCCAGGGCCTTTAAAATGGGCGCATGTGAGCTGAAAAGTGGAGCCTCCTGGCACACTTTGTGGGGGGAGGGCGAGCTGGGGGCTGGCAGGGGTGTGTGAAGGGCGCAGGTGGGGCCTCGGGATCTGCACTCCTGACGAGGGGCCTGGTGTGGAGGGAGTGTGGAGGTGTGGGCCCTTTTCAATTCAGGGCAGGAGTGGGGTTCACTCTGGCACCCCTCAGACATCTTGCCCATCAGGTGTGTGGCAGGGGGAGGGGCCACCTGCAGGGAGGGGGGCTGGGAGATTGCCGAGGAGGCCTCACCCCCTTTCTTGTTCCGGGACTCCCTGCCCCTCTCCCCAGGGGTTGCCCTGCAGGGGGGGTCCTGCCCCTCTCCACTGCCCCTGGACTTCCAGCTCTAGTCTTGGGGGATGTGTGGCACAGAGTGATCTCCTGACCCTCCCCTGGTAAGTGGAAGGTGGACACAAGGTCAGCCCCTCTGCCAACAGTGGAAGGGACCCCTGTCCTTGCACCCTGAGCTGGCTGCCAGGGCCTCCGTCCAGGCAATGCCTGCGATGAGAAGAAATGAGACACTGGCAGGAAGGACGCTGGCTGGAAGCCCCAGAGCCTCTCCAGGAGCAGAGACCCCGGTGAGGAGCGGCTGTGGTCCTGGAAAGGAGAGCCACCTCCCTGCCAGGGCACAGCTGTGCAAGGCCCTGTTGCAGGAAGGCCCGGCGGCTTCCTGGGTGTTGCTCAGAAGACAGTTCTGGAAGGTGCCCATTGACCGGGAGGTGTTGCCAGGCCCAACACCAAGTGGGGCCCCTGCCCATCCCCTTCCTCAGAGGGGTTGGGCCTTTCACCTCCCTGGCCCTGGCGCGAGCAGCACCAAGTGGGAGAGGACAGTATGTTACGTGGTGGGAGGCCAGGGCTGTCCTGGCACAGTGCGGGAGGCAGCTGCCAGCACTTTGAGATGCAGGGGTGGGAAGGCACTCAGGCTCCAGCTGGAGCCCTTTGCCTTCTCCCAGCTTCCCCAGGATGAGGGCCCTCCCTCCTGCCCTCCCCATTCCTGGTTTTGTTATGAAAACTCTTATCCAAGCCTCCCTGGTGGTGCAAGGGGTTAAGCATCAGCATCAACTACCACTGCATAAGTTCAGTCCCCGGCCAGGGAGCTAGCCACAGGGCGCAGCAGACCCCTCCTGTCTCCCGCTGCTCCCCTCCCCAGTGTATTTCAGTAGATCCACCTGTTCTGCTCCCCACTCTGTCTCTGGTGAATCCTCTCACCCTCTGCACCTCTGGCCTGTACCCCAGCTCTTATAGCATAAATAAATTTAAATAAAACCTCTTATCATCCCTTTTGATTTTTAAGAGGCTCACAAAAAAACCCAGAACAGATGGTTTCTTCCCAGGCATGCTGCGGTATCCCCTCCAGGATGGCTGGCCAGAGGGCGGGGGCGGGCAGGGGGTGGGTTCTTCGTGCAGGCCCTGGGGCCTGAGCACTGGTTCCAGCAGGTGGGAGAGGTTGCCCAGGGCCCCGCAGCTGTGTTGGGCCACGGGGTAGCCGTGGGCACAGGGCTTCCAGGGGGCCGGGCGCTCCGGGCTGGAGGTCTGTCTGCTCCCCTGTCTCCAGCCCTTAGGTCGCTGGGGTCGCGGGGGGTCGCGCTTCCCAGTGTAAGTGCCCCCCTGGGCTCCGCCCAACCTTCTCTGCCAGCAGCCCCAGCAGCGTCAGCCCCTCCCAGCCCCTCCCATTCCGCCAGGTAGTCTGGCCAGCGCCCCAGGGCCAGCGCGCCTCCCCGAGGGGTCAGGGCAGCAGCCGGTTTGCCTGCCTGGAGCTGGGCCTCTTGACTCCACCTGCGAGGCTCCCAGGCTGGGCCCCCCCACCCCGTGCTGGCCACTGGCGCTGACCTTTGCCCTCTTCCAGGAGGGGCTGGGGGCTCTGGCTGGGTTAGGGCCCCTCCTGTCCGGCGCTGAGAACCTTCTAGATTTCTGCTGGCCCACCCGGCTCCCGCCACTGGAAGCCGTGCACCCCTGAGAGGGGACGCTTGCTCGTGAATTTCAGCCCAGAACAAAGTCGCCCGCGGCTGCTGCCCTGACCGCTCAGGCCGGTGCTGGGGAGGCGCGCTGACCCTGGGGCGCTGGCCAGACTACCTGGAGGAGCGGGAGGGGCTGGGAGGGGCTGACGCTGCTGGGGCTGCTGGCCGAGGAGGTTGGGCGGAGCCCACGGGGGCTCTTACACTGGGAAGCGTGACCCCAGCCACCCAAGGGCTGGGGAGGGAGGGCAGCTCGCTGAGGGGTCGGAGTGTCCGGGCTCCGGGGGTCCAGGCTGGAGGCTGGGCCTCTGGGGGCAGGGCTGGGAACAGGCGGGGACTCCAGCTTGGACTCATCCAGTCCTACCAAAGGGGAGAATTTGCACTTCAAACCCTGGCAGCTGCAGTTCTGGGCCCCCCGCTTCGGGAACCTCAGGTTCCATGGCCCACGATTGGGGCCGAGTAAGCGGCTCTCAGTCGCCACTCCGCCTCCGGCCCCCCTCCAAGGGAACCCCCAGCCGGCCCTCCTCCAAGGGAACCCCCTCACTCTGTCCACACCCGCCGCGGCTGTCCACCGGCTCCCTCCCAGGCCCACAGATCCCAGCCAGGTGCCGCCTCTCCCTGCCACCCCTCCCTGGAGCCCCCCGGCCCCCGCCTCTGCCCTCCTGCCCAGGCGCTGCTCTCAGGGTGCTGCAGCCTCAGCAGAAAACTATACTCACAATTCAGGGTGCTCAGACCCGTCAGGCCCTACAACTCCGAGGCCGCTGTTCCTCTGGGTTCAAACACACTTTCTGCTTTTCCAGTGACAACCAGAAAATGGGTCTGCAAGCAGGGTCCAGCCAGGTCCAGCCGGTCCCAGCGCCAGGCTGACCGCGCAGGCGCCGGTGCCAGGCGGACACCGGGAGCCAGGCCCTCTCTGCAGGACCCCGGGCCACACCAGCCCCCAGGACAGGCGGCCATGCAGCCGGGCCTCCGTGGTGGAGTGGAGCCTCTCCGGGCCGGGCTGCTGTGCCAGAGACACTGACTGGGCGCCAGGAGTGACACCTGGGGCTGCTGGCGCCTGTGGCTGCTCCGGTCCTCACCACGGGTAGCCAGGCCCCACCAGCAGGCGTCCGCTCCTGGAATTAAACCTGTCTCTTGATTGAAATTTGGGGTGCCTCTGTCCCTTGTGTCCCCTTCCCCTAGTTCTTTCTCCCCCTGAGGCTGCCCCCTCCCTTTTCACTGAGCCCCGGCACTGGCAGGGGTGATCTGCATCCCTCGGGGGCAGAGGTGAGGCCCGCGTGTCAGGACCCCACCACCTGGAGACGCAGGCCCTGTCCGGCAGGCACCCCCGCCCGCCCGTGGGGCCCTGCTGGCTTGGCCAGTGCAGTGGGCTAGAGCCATGGCCTGGAGCTACGGGCCCTGCCCTGAGCATGGAGGGTTGCCCCGGGAGGACACGCATCTGTGCCCCAGCAGCAAGGTCTCTGCCTGTGCGGCCGCCCTAGGCCACAAGACCCTGGACAGGGGCCTGCTGGGAGGGCCACTCGTTCTTGGTCCCCCCAGGCTGGGCCGGAGGCTGGGGGTCTGCTGCCATCAGGAGCCAGCCTGCCCACACCGGGGCCAGCACAATGGTCTCCGTTTCCTCATGTGTGGGGCAGGCAGCCTGGTGAACTGGGGATGACGGGTCTCCAAGGAGCAGCATTGGGACGCGGGGTGGGGTCAGCACCCCGCTCAGGAGGTGGTCGTCTGGTGGGAGGGCGACGGGCAGGAGAGTCAGGTGAAGGAGGGAGGCGGCTTA